GAGGGCAATGCGGATGGGAATGTTATCGGACAGGTATGCTAGCTTGGCATCGTTGCCCCTACATGGGGCTGCATTTCGATCTCTTGGCGTGGAAGCTCATGCTTCTATGCACCAACGAGTCTCGTACCAAGAAACGCTTACACACGCAAGTAGAGGTGGGGCGAGATTTGAACAAGGCTATTTCGGGATGCCAGTATTTGTGGAAGACGATGAAGTGGAAATGTTTTGGCCGGGTAGCTTCAGGCAAGTAGAGGGAATTGGTGGCAATCAGAGGTTTAATTCAGGGCAAGGTTCCAACATAAACTTTGTAGCTGTAGCTCCTCAAACTAGGACAGATCCATCATTGCCTGATCTTAATTTGAAACTCTGATAAGTCTTTTCTCATATTCTATTCTACTTTTTGTATCAGAATTTTCAATATTGTGATATTACATTAGTGCTCTATTTGTACAGGAGATGAGTTTTTTTGACTGTCTTGAAATAATTGTGATATTACATTACTGCGCTTTCCTTCGTTAAGTGATATTTTCATTTGCAATACTCGTACGACTGCAAGATTTAATCAACACACTAAAGTTATATGTCTTTTTTCTTTTCATTTTAGAACTATATAGGAGTTTTGAAGTATGGATCATAATTCGGTTCAGAAAGACGGAAACCTTCCAATTGAAGAATAACAAGAATCTATCTGAGAGATTACACACAAAATGAGATTCAGACGTAGCAAATAACATGTCTTTCAGCAATACATTGGTATCCAAGCTTAAGCAGTAAAACAAAGTAATACTGAATGAAGTGAGGAAATACAACCACAATAAAATATGAAAGTTGGAATAGTTCACAAGAAAGAGAACACTCCCACATGAGCGGGAACTCAAAATGTAAGAAACCCAGAGAAGGGTACAGTTCCAAGCTGACAGTGGAGCACATTTAAATCTCCAGAACCACGCAGGGAATATTTTCAACTTAACAATACTTGTAATAAACAATAGACAAACAAGTTTCTTCATTGACAAGTATTTAGATCAGCTGGCTGCAACAAAATATGGAATGCGTCACGCCTTGATTCTTTCCTGCAAAGAGGAGACTAAGTAAGAGAGGAGAAGTGTCGAAGATTGGTTTCTTCGCTTAAAGGAGTCTCTTTATGGTCTTGAAAGAAATCACTAAATCATTCACAGTAGTCCATAAAATAGAGGACCAAAAAAGTCTCTATAAGATGGAATAACAGCATTTGATATTGCTATTCTCAATCTGGTCGAACCATTTACATGTTTCGAATAACAAACACGAAAAGAACTGAATGCTCGATGTTGACATATAGGCACTTAAATTCTATACTACAACAGAGTCCTGTTGCCGAATTTAATGTTTGATCAAAGTGCAATCCAGAATGCAAGTGAAAATTACTAGTTCATCATATATTTTCATCATTCCATGGTGTTGGATTTTGCATCTGTTACTGCTACTGTTTTCTAGAATAATTAGTTGTTTAATTTTAG